GGTCTGACACTAACAAACATGCATTATAATAATATCGTTCATAGGTCCAGAATACTTACTAGCAAAGGTTTCCTGCAGCACTACGTTCAGGAAAGTTCGGCGCAGCTGAAGTTGACTCTTAAAGCAGCCGCCCACTGCAGCCAGCTTGCGCGCCATCGCCGGGTTCAGCAGGGCTGCAGCGCGGAACGTTGCAAACGCTTGCCTATATAAAGTTAAATAAATTATTAACATTTTAAGACCTCATTAGTTTAAAATCCATTGGTGATGGTCTCAATTACAGTAACCTATGTTGCATTCAAATTTACATAACAAAATGTTGACATATGCCCCATTACAAATTTCTTCAAAACTAACCGAAAACCTAGTCAACATGTGAACACATAGAGAAGATATAATTTGAAAATGAATAGGTAAGTACTTACTGCACGCGCGAGTCGTCCGGACACACGGATGAGACAGTGGTCTCAAAGTGTTTCAACTTTCTGTTGAATTGGATGCCATCTTCTCCAGGGGAAAACTGTTCCAGCTGTAAGAAAAGGTAAGTCAGTAAATTAACAATAATGAACTCAATTGTTTCTCGTATTAAAATAAGTTAAGAAAATATAATATTACATACCAAGGTCAACAGGGGAACATATTGTTCATCGACTTTGAGCAAGTCCTTTAAGGCACCGTCTTCCTCGTCCACTGAAGTTTCAGTTTCCAATATTTCTGGAGCCTCTAATTCAGGCTCTACGGAGTCTCTACCAGTCTCTGGTTGTTCGCCCATTTCGGTAGACTTCTCCACTTCTTCGCTCCAAACGAATCTTTCCAAAACCATGTTTTTTTAAATTAAAACGAAATTATTTATAATAGTAATAATGCAGACTCGGGACACGTTGACTGTACAGCGCGATGTCACAGGAGCAACTGGCGAAGTAACGGGCGATCTGCTAGCTGCTAGCCTAAAACTTGTATTGTATCGACGACATAATGCTTGGTGGGGAGACGTAAAACAATACGCGCGCTGTCTCCTTCTAACGCATACATTTTGCGCAGGTATTGCTTTCTCACGTTTCTCTATTGTATATTTTGTCCTTATCTAACGTAAAAGTTGTTGTGTATCAAATGTTTCTATCTCTTTTTGTTCTACAGTTTTTGAAAATAGAATGATTCGTTAAGGAGGTGAATACAGATAAGTTGACAAGAAGTATAAGGTATAATGAAAACAAGATTAGATTGTTTTTCACTCATCAATGCCATAAAAATCAAGTTTTTGAACCATTCAGTTCTATATCCAGACAGAATGTATGCTAGAATTTAAGTATGCGGAGTTTAGATGTACAGATTCCCACAGTTAGGCTCCACTAGAAAGCGCTACTCTTAAGCTTCCATAACATAACCGTGTATTATATTGTCTAGTCTCATCACGCCACATATCCATCGCAGCATTCTCATCTCTGCTGTAGGCAAACTTCTTTCACCCGCCTTTCTCATGACTCAGCACCCAAATCCACATAGAACGACAGGTCTAGCCATATTTTAACGTATTCTTCAAAGGAGTTCAATTGAATAAGCATTACAAAAATACTCAATATGGTATTTCGATCTACAAAATCTATCCAAGTGTTTTTCAAATTTCATCTCATAGCTAACATCCATCCATCCAATAAAAGTTAGTTCCGTCCGTGCATCTGTGGCTGGAGATGGCACGGTTGGAGGTGGATCACTGTATTGCCAAAGTTCTCGCTGGCCATGGAAACTATAAAATCAAATTGTTCTTATTAAACTTGTGGAACCATCATGGTGTCATTGTTCGATAGCGGAGTTGCAATACGAGCAGTCCGCCCATCACACCCTTCGGGAGTATATGAACGCAAAATTCAATCTCGACCTTCTAGAATCTGAAACAAACTGTGTAATCTATACTAATGTTACAAAGCTGAAGAGTTTGTTTTTTTGTTTGATTGTTTGAACGCGCTAATCTCCAAAACTACTGGTCTGATTTGAAAAATTCTTTCTGTGTTGGATAGCACATTTATCGAGGTAGGCTATAAAATATTACGCTATGATTAATACGTGCCTAGCAGAGCGAGTAAAACCGCGCGGAAGTAGCTAGTTAATAATAATGCAGTTAAAAAGACCACGTTTCGATATGTCCTACCTTTGATGAACTAAGCTCTCGTGTTATTTATTTATTACTTTTTCTATTGAATATTACGGCATAGCATTGTCTCACTCATCATCCTTTGGTTATCTTTGTAAACAGCTTACTTTCGACAACCACCGACGACAATAGGTCTTCGGTAAAAGTAATTAGATACGTGAACCTAGCAACATTGTTACAATGAAGGTGTAGGACAATGATGACGTCATCACATTGAAATTTCAAACTCGTATGAAACTCATCGTTTGCGACATTTCGATAAATGTATCTAATTACTTTTATCGAATTCCTATTGTCTTCGATGACGGTCCAACTAAATGATGAATGATATTAAATAAAAATACCACATGTAAGTACTAAAAGACTGCCTCGTTGGCCGAGTGGTCGTAAGTGCGACTGCCGGACAAGGGGTCTCGGGTTCGATTCCCGGGTCGGGCAAAGTATTACTGGGTTTTTTAAATATTCTCAGTAGTAGCACGGAGTCTGGAATTGTGCCCGGTATATGGCAATAGGCTCACCCCCTATTACATGGGACTCATAACATAAATAGTGAAAAGTGGGTGTTACATTGTACAGTGGTATAATGTGCACCTCTGCCTACCCCTTCGGGGATAAAAAGGCGTGATGTTATGTTATGTTAAGTACTAAAAGAATGAATGACAAAATACTGTGTGATTTATTTACCCACCTAGATGTACTTACCTGTATATTCATTGTTTCTTTGTTCTGCTCCTCGTGGGACAATACATAATTTCCGAGAATATACCACCGTGTGAAGCCGGAGTATGTCGCTAGTATGTAGGTGAGCCTCGTAAAATAGTCCATGTCTCATGTAACAGACTTGTACCACCGCACCGCTTGACTTGTTGATCAACCAAAATTGTATTTCAGAATAAGCGGCAGCAATGTTTTTTATTGGAGTTTTATGGAATTAAGAATAATATCAATTACGTATTTGAGTTTGTATGTGTTCAGCCGCGTTATAAAACTAGTTACAAGACGGCGGCGCAATTTAATTTACAGAAAAATTAAAATTATTCACCTACAATTTTTTTTATTGATTCGGACTCAGAATCGATAACCGAATTACCTCATGTTGCGTCGCAGCGCAATAGGTCGAAGCTTAGTTTAATGCTGTGCCGGGCATGAGGGCTCGAGTCCACAGCACTGACTTTTAGCACCAGCTAGCAGTATGATGCAGTTAAATAATGGGGCCTGTCGCACCTCCGCCCACCAGACAGCGCCAGCGTAAAAATCAAGTAAAATAACAATAGTACATGTGTAGGATGACGGCGGCGTTCCCAAAGCGCATTCGTAGGTTAGATATTATACATTACTTAATGATAGCTTATTTATTATTTAATATTAATTATCATTACATTGTACTATAATAACTACTACATTGTATGCTATACTATATTATAATTAACTATTATCAATTATTTCGTCCATTAGTTAGTATCGGCGTACTTAGTGGAAAAATTCATTAACTAAGCACTTATGTTCTACAAAATGTCGTTATGTATGAATTTCCAATGTGATGACGTCGTCATTTACCCACACCTTCACTCTAACCATGTTGCTAGGTTACAATATTATTTTATAATCCCGTATTGGCTGCAGTTTTATTAAACTTTACATTTCATTCGCTTATCTACGTCCAGAACAGTATGATCTACTAGCACCCACAACTACAAGATTTTCCAAAATGTGAACCAGTATAAACTGACCGTTAAATCTATCTATAAAGACCATCGAAGGCGGGACCAAGATGAACTGGTCCTGCTATTTTTTTACTTAGTAATGATTCAATCGAAAACAATTATTGAATTGGGATGTATCTACTATGTATTAACTGTGGCAAGGTGCCACACACACATTATTTTAATAGATTCTGGGTGTTTGCTCCATACTCTTTGGACATTCTTCTTACGTTAGAATAGTTTATTTTATTGTATATTGTAATGAAAATGTACTATTGTCACTTTACTTTTTCAAAATCACCACTAAACGAGGTAGGTCACATTTATTTTTTTAACTGCTTTTAGCTAAAGATGAGCGACAAAAATTTTTTTAGATATTTTCGAGAATGTGGTATTATTTTGACTTGCACTTAATCTAAAATTTTTCAATTCTAACGAAGTAATGTAGGTTATATAAGAATAATTTCTAGGACTAAAATATAAATGAAAACTAAGATATTCACAACTAAAATTATCATAAGAAAATAGGATAAGAACAAACTAACTTAAAGCATTAAAAAGATTATCCTACTCGTTGTCGTGACCGAATTATCAACTTTATATTTATTTATGACTAACTGCTTGAATTGTCAAACGGTCGAAAGTATCGTGTAAGGGGCCTCGGTTTCATTCCCGAGTCGGGCAAAGAGGTATATTCATCGTTTCTTTGTTCTGCTCCTCATAGGAAGACCATACATAATTTTCGAGAATATACCTCCGTGTGAAGCCGAGGCGTGTCGCTAGTATGGTAGGTAGTACGCCCTTTTGAAAGAAAGAGATAGCAACATTTGAGTACTTACATAACAACTTATACGTTAGACAAGGACAAAATATTCAATAGAGAAACGTGAGAAATGTATGCGTCAGAAGGATACGGCGCGCGTATTGTCTTACTTCTCCCCACCAGGCATTATGTCGTCGATACAATACAAGTTTTAGGCTAGCAGCTAGCAGGTCGTCCGTCACTTCGCCAGTTGCTCCTGTGACATCGCACTGTACAGTCGACGTGCCCCAAGTCTGCATTACTACTATTATAAATAATTCGTTTTCATTTAAAAATCATGGTTCTTGAAAGTTTCCTTTGGAGTGAAGAAGTGGAGAAGTCGACCGAAATGGCCGAACGCGAACAACAAGAGACTGGAAGAGACTCCGTAGAGCCTGAAACGAGCCGGACTCCAGCAATATCGGAATCTGAATCTTCAGTGGACGAGGAAGACGGTGCCTTAAAGGACTTGCTCAGAGTCGATGAACAATATGTTCCCCTGTTGACCTTGGTACGTAATATTACATTTTTTTAACTTATTTTAATACGAGAAATACAACTGAGTTCATTATTGTTAATTTACTGACTTACCTTTTCTTACAGCTGGAACAGATTTCCCCTGGAGAAGATGGCATCCAATTCAACGGAAAGTTGAAACACTTTGAGACCACTGTCTCATCCGTGTGTCCGGACGACTCGCGCGTGCAGTAAGTACTTACTTAGACTTATTTTTTCAAATTATATCTGCTACTTATAGCAATACACGAAATTAAAAGTATAAGCATTAAGTTTCTCAATATCAATCAAAAAACTTCACCTCTTCTGCCATTAATAAGTGTAATAATTTTATTCCTCTTTGTCCAGACAAGCATTTGCGACGTTCCGCGCGGCGGCTCTTCTGAGCCCAGAGACGGCACGTAAGCTGGTCGCAGTGGGTGTTTCGTTCACTCGCCAGCAGAGACTGCCACTGCTACGTGGAGCCCTGCTTAATGTCGTCATGCAGGACACTTTCTCCAGTAAGTACCCTTTCCCAATATCTATTCACCTCTCGAATGCTGTTCACCCAGTAATATGTCAACTAATTTTCATCTCCATCAACAGAACTGGACCTGCTAGAGCGCTCAAACCCGTTGTTCCTCATCAACGCTGCGAATCTGATGGGAGATTACTTCGCAGAGGCTCGCCTCACTAACGGCGACAAGCTTCACTTTCTGGCTGGACCACTACTGCAATACCTGCGTGCCTTACTCGCCGCCCATGATGTTCGTGCACATCGCAGTCTCGCAGCCCAAGTAAGTTTCAAACAAACATTTATTATTTTTTTCGTCCTCGAATGATATCTTCTGATTTATTTATTTCGTTACGGAATCCTTGACAATTTATTTGTGTCCGTCTACAATGTTTCGGTGCACAGGGATTGCAGTGATTTCGGGTGGTTGAGACGGGCTTATCCTTACTAACATACTAGCTATCGTCCATCCACCGAGGGAGCTTTATTGCCATATAGACAGAATATTTGCTAATAACATTCATTGTTTAGTAGAATCGTGACAGCTAAGCAGGTTCAAATAGTAATATGTAACTTACTTTTCTTCACAGTTGATGCAGAACGGTCGCGAGCTACTCTCCCTACTACCTCAAGAGATGGACGAGCTCTCGATCTCAATCCGTCTCCGTCTGCTCTCGCCCCCACCGGTCAGTACAACGTGGCTGCTGCTCTCCGCGGACCTTTGCCTCAACAAGTTTCTTGCTCTGCCGAATAAACTGCAACAGTTCTACGCCGCACATCTCGACCTAACCACGGCAGGAAATTTCAGCAAAATCGGCAATGGAACTTGGAAGAGAAGCCCCGAGAAGGACAAAAATCTACCGGATGCTACAGAATTCGCAGAAAAATTCAGGCAAAATTTATCTGAGATCAGTCTGAATGACGAAGAAGAGACGAAGCCTAATTTGATGCCGATAGTAAGCGCCGGAGATGGGCTATCAGGACAGGAAACCCCAATCTCAGTTAGTCAGGATACGTTTGAACTATGGAATGCTAACGTGAAACAACGATACGACCTTAACTCTTGGCGTCAGCCAGAGGCGAAGAAAACAGAGAGACTTGAGTCCCAACAAGGAAAGAATAGCTTCCATAGTTACCCCAAGAGAGATGTATCCCAGACTCCTTCGATGCCTGAATACAGACCAGACGCGACCGCAGAGATAAGTCTGAATGAGAATCAGGATACGAAGACTAAATTGACGCCAAAATTAGGCGTTGGAGCCCGATTATTGAGACTCAATGCCCTCTCAGTAAAACCACCACTCTCAGTTAGCCAAGATACATGGCCAGTTAAAAATAACTTAAGGAAAAGACACGACCTTAACACTTGGCGTCAGGTAGAAGCGATGAGAAATCATGAAATTAAATACGAGCAGACTGTTCTCCCGCCAGCACAGTCTTGTCCCGTACCCGACTACCGACCGCCGAACATAAACGGGAAATCGAACAGGAGGAGGATTGGTGGAAAGGAAGACGGAACGACAGCCAAGGCGGCCCCGAGACGCAATGTCACCGAAGTACCGCGCAGCGCCAAATACTGGGACCACGACGACCGATGTGACAAACATTACAGTTAGTTATTGTTCCTATACTAGCGTTCCTCAAAGTGCAAAACTGATTGTAAATTATTATTAATATAGTGAATTGTTTAAATGAAATTGTAACTTTTAATTTTTATTTGTATTATGCTAATGTATTGTATGATAAATGAATAAAATATACTAATTTTGTTAACTTTCAATTTTTGTATTTTATCTTTAAATCCTTGACGCCTGAATACAAATGCAACATTCTATAAGTTACACCTCACAATAAAATCCCGTAGTAGTAATAAGTAGCAGGAGTTAGTCATACAAATAATTGGCCGACTTCAAAAAGGAGGTCTTGTATCGACAGGTCTAGCCACATATAAAGCACACATTTTAACATATTCTTGAAAGGAGTTCAATTGAATAAACATTAAAAAAATACTCAATATGGTATTTCGATCGACAAAATCTATCCAAATGTATTTCAAATTTCATCCCATAGCTAACATCCATCCATACAATAACAGTTAGTACTTTCCATCCGTGCATCTGTGGCTGGATGGCACGGTTGGAGGTGGATCACTGTATTGCCAAAGTTCTCACTGGCCATGGAAACTATAAAATCAAATTGTTCTTCTTAAAATTTGTGGTTTCATCATGGTGTCAATGTTCGATAGCGGAGTTGCAATACGAGCGGTCCGTCCATCACACCCTTCGGGAGTATATGAACGCAAAATTCAATCTCGACCTTGTAGAATCTGAAACAAACCATGTATATAAAATACTAATATTATAAAGTTGAAGAGTTTGTTTCTTAATAATAGCTCTTTTAAGTATCTAAAAAAAAAGTCCGGGACGGTATGTGTCTATCTTTTAAGATTAACTCACAAAAACCGTTTTTATGGTACCCAATTTGGTCGAAATAATTTGTTTAAGCTGTATCAACTTAATAATATTAATCTTTATTCAAATAAATATGTTGTTGGTTAAGAGTACTTCATTGTGATTAAAATTATCTTTGACATAACTTAATTTCAACAAAAATCTTTAAAGATTACAATGATAAATAAGTCCGAAACAAAACCAACTCGCTCTCTGCGCTGGCCGGCGCGGCGGGAGAGAGGCGGTGCTTACTGCTTACGGGCAAGCCGAGAGGGGGGGGTGTAGCTCTACGAGATACTAATAGGTTTTATCCTGAAAATTCTGCGGGAACTCGACCATTCCGAAAATCCCGACGGGAACTATATGGGAAGGACTAAAAATCTGCTGGAAGTATTCTATTCCTATTCGCTATTCCACGCAGACGAAGTCGCGGGCAAAAGCTAGTCTATACTAATACTACAAAGCTGAAGAGTTTGTTTTTTAGTTTGAACGCGCTAATCTCCGAAACTACTGGTCTGATTTGAAAATTTCTTTCTGTTTTGGATAGCACATTTATCGAGGTAGGCTATCGGCTATAAAATACCACGCTACGATTAATAGGCGCCGAGCAGAGCGAGTGGAACCGCGGAGAAGTAGCTAGTTAATAATAATGCAGTTAAAAAGACCACGTTTCGATATGTCCTACCTTTGATGAACTAAGCACTCGTGTTATTTATTTATTACTTATTCTATTGAATATTACGACATAGCATTGTCTCACTCATCATCCTTTGGTTATCTTTGTAAACAGCTTACTTTCGACAACCACCGATGACAATAGGTCTTCGGTAAAAGTAATTAGATACGTTCTTCGAAATGTCGCAAACGATGAGTTTCATACTAGTAGAGTATTCATTCAACATTAACAAACAGCACTTGACAGTCCACCGCTGGACTAAGGGCCTACACCTTCTAGCGACGAATATTTCGTCTTTCCTTTGAACCATGTCCCGATAGCGACGACATCATTATAAATTAACTTATTTCTGCCAGTAGCTTCGCCCGCGTCCTTGGGATACAAAATACTTCATGTGTCCAGACTGTATTGATTTCCAGACTCTGTACTTCATCCAAATAATCCAGAACTTGTTTCATGCAAGAATAACAAACATCTTATGCATTTCAAATTGTTCATTGATTACAAAATTAAAATGAAATTTTGGTATATGCGGATTACGATTACAACTCTGTTTTTATCCTCTTAATTGTTATTTTGCTATTATATATATTTTTGTTTTGTTCCTGGCGTTCATGTCTTATGCCTAATAAACACATTTCATTTCATTTCAAACACATTTCTCCAGTGCTTAGGTGACGCTCGTGATTGCAAACAACTGTTGGCATTAGTCCAATTAAATTCATTGCATATGATGCTACGGCGTAGCTGTTGATACTACGGCGTAGTATCGTAAAGTAGATTATTATTTGTTCTGAGCGGAGATAATCCAATGAAATACAATATAAAAGAAAACTTTTGAAGCCAATTCTGAGTTATGAACTAATATTGCAACCTTGCAACATTGTCACAGTGAAGGTGTGGGAAAATAATGACGTCATCACATTGGAATTTCATACTCATTGTTTACGACATTTGAAAGACCTTAAATCTCATTAATTCCATGCACCGGTAAAAACTCCCTCGATACCTTGTTGTAAGGCTTAAAAAAATCGAGGAAAAATAAATACACGTGGTATTATTATAAGTCGTTCATGGGATTCGGTGTTAAATGTTATAAAAAGATTCCCCAAGAAATACTGCATCTAAATGAAAGAAAATTTAAACTATGTATAAAAAAACCATTATGTAGACAAGCATACTAAAAACTAAATGATTATATAGAGGATAAAAGTGCTTGGAGGCAGGCTGATCCGGCTCCGCAGGATAATACATGAAACACAGTGATGTTCAATGAATTCTATTTGTGTAATAATATAATCATGTTGCTTAAATATTGTATAGTTTAAAACATTGCACAATTTATTGTAAATGTGAGAGCCCTATAATTAATTAAA